TTTTGTGCTCCAACGAAATGTTAACGGACGGACCGAATGGCCTTATGTAATAAAGAATATTTAGCGATTATTGACGTCATCAAACACTTAATTTGAGTGAAATTGCGGAAACTTAGTTGAACATTGGAATGGTTCAAATCAATGTTGTCGGTGTCCCCGGTATACATAACAAATTTAGAAAACCTCTTGAGAATCCCTGTAATTATTAAAATCGTCAAAGTAAAATTTGATCTTAAAATTTTTGTGAAATAGGATAGACGGCCTATGTAAACCTACCGAACCGTATAGGTTAAAATGATAGCTATTATTATTACGGCATTATGATAAACCAGTTGAACAGCCCTAACTAACTTGATTTTGTGTTATCTATTAAATTTTTAGAAATGAATTAAAAACTTGGTAGGTAAGTTAGATCTTTATTCCATAAAATTCTGGAAGGCGACATCATTTATTTTTTGTCGAAAGTGACAAATTGCAACTTAAATCTCTGATAGCCTTCGAAATTTTTGGTCTAAACCCAAACCAGTGCAACTAGTCTATCGAAACAAACGGAACATCCGTGTATTCACGGTTAATCTCTCGGGAATTGCTAACGTTAAGGCAATAGGAGTCACGTGACCCTGGTTTATATAATTTATATAATTTTATATAGGTTGATGATGTCATGATTTAGCTCTCTAGTCTAGGAGATTGAAAAACAAAACAATGAATTATTCCGGGAAATGACACTTGCATGAAGATCATTCTTGAATCCATTATTCTGTCTTTTTGCACTACCTGGAAATTATTGTTCTCCAGTTTCTTCTCTTTACCAAGTCGAAGGTAAGTTAAAAAGTTCTATTTTAAATGTCAGTGACACTTCATTCGTGACAGTAGTTGAACGGCATATTATTGATAGCCTAAGATGATGGCAGAACAAAGCGATCATTCAATTATCTATAAAAACATTATATACTATAATTCTTTTATAGTCCTTTAATTCCAATAGTAACCAATTTCGTAATACAACTTACAGTTGGAACAGGACACTCTTGATATTTCAAAGCTCATCTTCTATTAAAAAAGATTTTTACCCATTTAATATCTACAGATAATAGCCTCCTTATCCATGAGGATTTGAGAAAAATTATAAACTAGTTAATATCAACCATATTGGGACTGCCATTTTGGTATAATTTGTTAATAGTGGTTCTTTTCATTTTATTCTAGACAAATTTAAACTAATTGATTTAATCTTTTTTACGAAATTCATCGTAAGAAAGAAATAGGTTAGTTTTATAAATGATTTAATTAAATCTAAAACAAAGATTACATGAAAATAAACTTAATAAAATGTTTATAATTTTTTTATAATTATAATATAATAATAATTTTAATTATACGGTGTCATAATTGAAAAACTTCAAAAGGGATAATCACATCCAACATATTACAAAAACACAGAAGTAGAAAAAATAATAAATGTCTTCTCCCTGCATATCAGTTTCCGATTTTGGCATTAACCAAAATTTTAATAGATCTTTTCTATTTCACCTTCTTATAAACAAAGGTTTGTAAACCATGTCGTCACTGAATATAAATTCAGAAATTGAATTAGCTAATTATTCTTTGTTAAAATTTTTCTTTAGTCGGAAAATATCTCCAGTGATCCCTTTCTAAAAACTCATTAAATTATCTCAATATCTTTGAATTTATCCACTGTTTTTATAACAGATTACTAAGTTATAAACATATTAATATTTATAAAATTTATAACAAGAAATGTCCTGTGTATTTAAATGATATCCACACACCTTATTCTGCTTTCAACCTCAGATATGAAATTCCTAAACCCTCCTTTTTAAGATACATAGGTCCAATTATGTGGAATTATTTAAATAATAATGTTAATCTTTCTGAAAGCTTGTCAATATTCATTCCTACTGCCCATTCTTTTATTTTATTTTTTAAACTTAATTAAGAAGAAATATCCTTGTTTTTCCTCCCACATATTGTTTTGATTTGTATTATATTCTTTGTGTACCGTTTATTGCTAAACAAGCCAAGCCTATATTTTATGTCCCAATAAAGCTATTACATTATTATTATTATTATTATTATCATAATTATATTATTACTATTATAACTATTATTACTATTATTATTTCTATTACTATTATTATTATTTCTATTAGATAGGTAATAATTGCAATCGTAATAAATTAATTTATTAATCATTGTGTCACGAATCAGATACATGTACATTATGATAAAACATAATATAAATATAACAATAAGATTCCCGGCCAAAGTTGGCTGATATTACATTTACTAATTACATGATATAGACTGTAAATATAACCATAAAAGAGGTAAAATAAAAAGTTGTGTACATGCAGTTAATATACAAAACCTATTTTCAAATCATAAAACCAAATCTGTCTCTTAATGAAACCATATTATAGAATATTTTTTAATCAATGAAACTAGATATTGATTTATAAATCCAATTAAATGACCTATTGGTCTCCACTATTTTAGAAGTTTTTAGGACACGTTATTGTTATTGATCGGTTGCCTTTTAAAAGCTTTTAGTATTTTAGTTTTAAAACGATTCCAGAATGACCAGATCTGTAGCTTTGATCGAAATTGTGTACATGTATTTGGAAAAAAGGTAAAAGGCCGACTGGCGACAAAAAATTAATTCAGCTTGGCATGTTTTTGGCTATTACGATAACGCCATGTATATCGTACAATATTTTGGATGGGTTTGTATGGAAGCCGGCTGTGGCCATGAGAAGTCGGGAGACGACAAAGCGACGAAAAAGGCGAGAAAGCAAGGGTAAAAAAGGGCGAGGAAAAAGGCGAGAAAGCGAGAAAAAAGGCGAGAAAGCGAGAAAAAAGACGAAAAAGTGAGGAAAATTTCTCGCCTTTTTCTTCGCTTTCTCGACACGCAGGTACGTGGTTAATAAATCCGGAGCCTATAGGGGTACCTGTTTACCAACCCCCAAGCGCCCAAAGCCTACAATATCTTCAAATTAACTCATTTAAAAACAGAATGAGTTTAATTTTAAAACACGAACAACACAAATTCGAAGGAGATGGTTTCTTCTCAGCTCTATCATCTCTCATCCCATAAGTAGCCAACTTTGTCTCAAACAACAAATCCCTTATTTCCTCAGCAGCCCAAGCTCTTGGATCTGTAGCAAAAGCAGGAGTAAATATAAGCGAAGCAGTGAAAAGATCTAACGAGTTGGAAGAATTACAACATATAAGAGAAATGCGAAATAAAAGATTAGAAAACAAAAAAGGCAATGGTTTTAAAATTATAGGATAGATGTGGTCTGTTTTTTATCAACACTTCCTTCCCTTTATTAAAGCGACTCTTCTTTGGAATTTTTTTTTTCAGACCACAATTAATTTTTGTAAACATAAAGCGTGGACAGGTTATGTATGTTTAATATATATATATATAAACAAGAAAGCTATTTTGATGGAATAAGGGCTATGGAATGTTTTTTTCTATCAATTATTCTTTCTGTAGAAGGAAATCATGGGAACAACTGAAAAAGAAATTCAACAATTCAAAATGATCAAACATTGGAAATCTTTCTCCAAATTAAATGTTTCTAAGATGATTGAGTGAGTGTCCATGTTAACCTATAAAGTCATACAAAACCATATTTTTTTCTTTCTGTGAATAATTCATTCATCTATTACCACCTCCAATTAGGTATTGAACTTAATCCGCTTTTTGGTAGTAATCCGAAAGTCTTGTAGAATAAACAGAAGGGATATTCAACACCTTCAATTTCATGTATTCCCTTTAAGGTTAATTCTCAGAGCGAAAAGCATATTCGAAAGTCTCAGAGATTTAACAAGGGTGCATGGAATTTTATCACTACAGATAAAGAAATTCAACAGTTTAAAATGATCAAACATTGGAAATCTCTCTCCAAATTTAATGTTTATGAGATGATTGACTGAGAGTCCATATTAAACCTATAAAGTCAACAAAACCATATTTTTCTTACTTATGATCACCTCCAATTAGGTATTGAACTTAATGCCCCTTTGGTAGTAATTCTACAATCAAGCCCGACAGCACCTGTCTTAGGTTGTCCTCCCTTCTGGAGAATCTTACCCGTCATTGGTTAACTGTCGCGTTACTTTATGACGTTGTATATCAACTCCACCCAATTCAAGCCCGACAGCGCCTGTCTTAGGTTGTCTTCCCTTCTGGAGAATCTTACCCGTCATTGGTTAACTGTCGTTTTACTTGATGGTGGTTTATATCAATTTATCATATCTTCTGGTATTGAACTTTCATCTGTTGTTTTTGTCAATACCTTTAATTTCATATTATGATAAATGATTCTATAGTGGTAGTAGAATTAACAGAAGGGCTACTCTGTTATTGTTTTGTCAATACCTTCAATATCGTGTTTATAGTATATTATAAGTATATTCGAAAGTCTCAGAGAATTAACAAAGGGTGTGTAGTGAATTGGAGTATCACACAAGGAAGTAAATACGTAATTGTTGACTATATAGGTCAACATAGAATTCACTAGTAATTCATCCCAGAAACACAAATTTGAAGATAGATTCCTTTGTCCGACATCTTGAACTGTTAAAAATAATGAATCTGTAGTGATTTGGGGATGATATATATATAGAAGGACTACATATCACACAAGAAGTAAATACTTAATTGTTGACTATATAGATCATCATAGAATTTACTAGTAATTCATCTCCGAAACACAAATTTGAAGATAGATTCCTTTGTCCGACATCTTGAACTGTTAAAATAACTCAATCAGATTCCTATTATCCCTTCATTAGATGGAAAAATTAATAAAAATACAGAGCATACTATAACGCCCTTTATACATATCAAAATGGCTTTCTTGTTTTCTTTATCATCCAGTTTGTAGACAGTTTTTATTAGTCTCTTTTTTTTCTCGAAACTTTTACAATGATCCGAAAACAACCTATCCAAATTTTTATCTTTAAAAATGGCAGTAAAGAATTATAGATTAGATCCGATCTTTCAATTATATGATCCAATTCGTTATTCGTTTGATAAGAAAAAAGAAGTTTACATTATCATATCACCAACCGTTGGCTCTAGGTCTCAACTAAATGATAGGGGTAGGATCACTTTCGAGATTAATTCATTATCGAATTGGTTGCTTCTGTCTGATGCCTATTTCAGATGTGATTTCAAAATCACAGACGGAACTCCCAATGAGAATCGTGTACCGCAAACCAACACAACGTTAGAAAACAAGTTCTTCCAATCTTTATTTACTGAAATGGTTTTGGAAGCTGGTTCAAATCCCATAGAAACCATAAACACCCCGGGGAATTTAACACAATGTTGAAAACAGTTCTGTATCCCCAAAACTACGATTCAGTCTCAGGCTGGATACCCGATGTTAGCGATGGGCGTGTTATAAAAGAACCGGTAAGAAATGTTCCAAATGATGCAGATGAAGCTAGAATGAGAGCTATTGCTCGAAACACAATAGAAAGAGTAGGACGAGCAGGTAATCATGGATTTGAAAAACGAGTACTTCAGTACAATAATGTTGTGGAGAATAATATGTGGGGTAATTACGTAAATTGGAAGTTATATCCTTTATTCGGTCTGTTGGAACACAGAAAAGTTTCCTTAGGGTTACCATATAAAATTCATCTACAAAGAGAAATCAATGATAAGATATTCTTTGGAGAGAATGCTTCAGATGCAAAATTAGAAATAACGAATCTCCAACATTACATACCGGTAATAACACCATCAATTGAAGTAGAAATGAGAATATTCAACTCATTAACTAATGATATTGAAATAGCATTTCTTCGTCGCAATACAATAGGTAGCTTTAACTGGAGAATCCACTACATGGCCAATCACTAACACTATTAAACCAGCAAGATATTTAATGGTTGGTTTGAAAAACTTACCAGATTCTCAAACGAATAACAATAATGTCTTTAGAGTAGCAATGAACTAAACTCAAGATCCTATAATCCGTAAAGTTCAAGTAAGATTAAACAACGATAATCATCCTAACCAACCTTTAACAAATAATCCATCCACAAAGGATTATAATGAATTGTATAGAAACTATAAATATATGTGTGAATTATTTGGAAATTCAGTTTGAATATGTAGATTTTGCAATTAATCACCCAATCTTCTGTTTTGATCCATCAGCTCACCAAGAAGATCTTTTCAAAACAGTGGTGAATATAAATATTCATATTGAAAAAACACAAGGAGATGTAACCGGGTATTGTTTATTATTGGAAAAAGCAAAACATTTAATTAAAATATCCGACAGACGGATGATTCGTATAGAATAATTATTTAAATTACCCTCTTAAAAATGAAACCAGCAACTTTAGTAAAAAGAATAATAGAAGCTATCGAAACGGAATCACCAACTGCAATAACTTACAATGGTAAAAAGAATATATCTAAAAAAATTATCGATAAATATAAACATTGTAAAGTTAGAAATGATATAGATTTGGAAAGAATTGACAAGAGTGTAAAGGAAGGTGGATTTTTCCTTTCCTACCTCTGATATTTGCTGATCTGGCTGCGGCAGAGGCGACAGCTGGTGAGGCGGCTCGGATAACACAAGCCATCAACGCCAAGAAAGCAGCTGATGCTGAAAAAAGTGAAAAACGTAGACATAATATGGAAATGGAAAAGATAGCACAAGGTTCGGGAGTAGCAGATATATTTGGAACAGTTAAAAAATTTGGAAATCGATTTAGTGAAGAAACCAAGAAAACTGTTAAAGAGGGATTAAGTAATCTAATAGATAAAATCGACACCGGAGAAATGAAGGTCAAACATAAGGGTAATGCCATAGTTTTTAAAAACAAACGTTCTGGAGAGGAAAACTTTGGAACAAAAATATAGAATAAAAAATGGGAAAGAAATTTAATCATTCAAAAATATTGCCTAGTAACCCAATGCTAATGTGTATATGCGGTAGCTCAGGTTCTGGGAAAACTTATTTGACCTTTAACATGTTGACAACACCAAAACTTTTAGACTTCGATTCTTTATATATCTACACAACAACACCAGAGCAATCATATTATCAATTCCTCAAAGCTTTAGAATATATACCAAAGAAAGACGTTCAAGACATATTTAAATAAAATGAAGACAACGATGAGATAGAAATAAAAGATATCTTAGATACATATATAAAAGAAAAGATTCTATCTTTCAATCCAACGGACATAAAAGTTTTTCTTACGAAAAATGGTAATGATTTAGATTTGTCTAAAATTGATAGTGAGCGAAAGAACTCAATAGTGTTTGACGACTGTGTAGCACAAAGAAATCAAGCTGTTCAACAAGAATTCTTCACGAAGGGAAAACATCACAAGTGTCATCGTATATACCAATCCCAACCTTTTTACGGTATGGATGCAATGTTCATTAGAAAAAATGCAAATTATTCGAATTGAACGACAAAGATTTATCTCAAATTATTCAGTCAATTAATCACGGAATGGATAGAGATACATTTAAAAAATATTGCAAAGCACAATGGAGAAACCCAGATGATCATGGATATGTATTCGTTAATACTAGAAAACCTGCAGGTGAAAGAGTTATGACAAATATTTGTTAATTTTATTTCTTTAAAAATGGGTGATTGGAATAATATTATAAAAAGAAACAGAAAATATATCAAAGCTAAGAATAAAATAAAGACCCAAGTTGAAAATAACAAATTACAACAACTTGGATTAATAGAAAATCTACAAACTCTATTTCAACCAATATTAAAAAGTCAAGAAGATATTAAAAAGAGACTCGCCCCTCGTGTAGAACCTTTCCTTCATAAAGATTCCCCAAGTAGTATATGAGCTCATAGATTGGTCGCATTTTTCCACATTCCATTTCATTTCATGGGAAAATGCGACCAATCTATGAGCTCCAAATAAACAAGACCTGAATTCCCTACATTTCATAAATTCTTATAGCAAAACATCCTACATTTCATAAATTCTTACACTTAAAAAAGACTTAAATTCCCTACATTTCATAAAACATCCTAAATTCCCTACATTTCATACACCAAAAAAACTTTCAATCAATTTCCTACATTCCATCAAAAAAAGCATATTAAAATAATGTAGAAGGGAGATAACTCTTTTTTGAAATTTTCTACTCAAATTTTAAACCTTAAAAGTGGCAAATAAAATACTAGATCCAATCTTTAGATTATACGATCCGATTCGTTATTCGTTTAACAAAAAAAAGAGGATTATATTATCATCTCACCCACTGTTGGTTCTAAATCCCAATTGAATAATGGTGGTAGAATTACCTTCGAAATAAATTCATTATCGAATTGGTTGCTTCTTTCCGATGCTTATTTCAGATGCGATTTCAAAATTAAAGATGGAACTTCCAATGAAAATCGTGTTCCACAAACATATACAACGTTAGAAAACAATTTCTTTCCATCTTTATTTAGAGGTTTTTGGAAGCTGGTTCAAATCCGATAGAAACAATCAAACATCCTGGGGAATTCCACACAATGTTGAAAACAGTTTTATATCCTAAAGATTTCGATTCAGTCTCGGGTTGGATACCCGATGTTGGCGATGGAAGTGTTTTAAAAGAACCGGTAAGAAATCTTGCAAATGATTCTGATTTAGCTAGAGTGAGAGTTGTTGCTCGAAACACAATAGAAAGAGTAGCACGAGCAGCTAATCATGGATTCGAAAAACGAGTACTTCAGTACAATAATATTGTTGAGAATAATAGGTGGGGTAATTACGTAAATTGGAAATATATATCCTTTATTCGGTCTGTTGGAACACAGAAAAGTTTCCATAGGGTTACCATATAAAATTCATCTACAAAGAGAAATCAACGACGATAAGATATTCTTTGGAGAGAATGGTTCAGATGCAAAATTAGAAATAACGAATCTCCAACTTTTCATACCCGTAATAACACCATCAATTGAAGTAGAAACGAGAATATTCAATTCGTTAACTAAAGATATCGAAATAGCTTTTCTTCATCGTAACACGGTAGGTAGCATATCTTTAACGGGAGAATCCACCACCTGGCCAATCACTAACACTATTAAACCAGCAAGATATTTAATGGTTGGTTTCAAGAACTTACCAGATTCTCAAACGAATAACAATAATGTCTTTAGAGTGGCAATGAACCAAACTCAAGATCCTTTAATCCATAAAGTTCAAGTAAGATTAAACTACGATAATTATCCTAACCAACCTTTAACAATTAACCCAACCTCAAAGGATTATAATGAATTGTATAGAAACTATAAAAATATGTATGAATTATTTGGAAATCTACCTCAGTTTGAATATGTAGATTTTGCACTTAATCAGCCAATTTTCTGATTTGATCTATCAGCTCACCAAGAAGATCTTTTCAAAACAGGAGTGAACATAAATATTCATATTGAAAAAACCCAAGGAGATGTAACAGGTTATTGTTTATTATTGGAAGAAGCAAAACATTTAATTCAAATAGCAGATAGAAGAATGATAAGAATTGAGTAAAAAATACACCCTTAAAAATGAAACCAGAAATTTTAGTTATGAAAATTGAATATTATTGGAACAGCTTCACCAACTGTAATAACATTCAACGATAGAAAAATCAACATAACTAAAAAACTTATTGATAAATACAAATATTGTAAAGTCAGAGACGATATAGATTTAGAAAGAATTGACGCGAACGCAAAAGAAGGTGGATTTTTACCTTTCCTTTTACCTTTAATATTTGGTGGTATTGCAGCGGCGGGAGAAATGATTTGGGGAAGAAACCAAGAAAACTGTTTAAGGATTAAATAAATTAGTAGATAGTATTGACACGGGAGAAGTCAAATTAAACATAAGGGTAATGGAATATTTTTAAACAATATACACACTGGAGAAGGAATATTTCTTTCAAAGTATAAAGGAGAAGGAGTTATTTTTGGAACAAATTAAAATAATAAAAAATGGGTAAAAAATTTAATCATTCAGAAATATTTCCTAATAACCCTATGCTCATGTGTATATGCGGTAGTTCCGGTTCTGGGAAAACTCATCTCACTTTTAACATGTTGACAACACCAAACCTTTTAGATTTCGATTCGATTTGTCGAATATCGATAGCAAACGAAAGAACTTAATATTGTTTGACGACTGCGTAGCGCAAAGAAATCAAGCTGTTCAACAAGAATTCTTCACGAAGGGAAGACAACACAACTGTCACTGCATATACCAATCCTAATCTTTTTACGGGATGGATTCTATGTTTATTAGAAAAAATGCAAATTGTTTTTCATTATTTGAATTAAACGATAAAGATTTATCTCAAATCATTCAGTCGATAAATCACGGAATGGACAGAGATGCATTTAAAAAGGTTTGTAAAGCTCAATGGAAAAACCCAGATGATCATGGATATATATTCGTTAATACTAGAAAACCTGCAAGTGAAAGAGTTATGACAGATATTTGTTAAATTTTATTTTTTTAAAAATGGATAATTGGAATAATATTTTAAAAAGAAATAGAGAATATATCAAAGCTAAGAATAAAATAAAGACCCAAGTTGAAAATAACAGATTACAACAACTCGGATTAACGGAAAATCTACAAACTCTATTTCAATCCATATTAAAATCTCAAGAGGATATTAAAAAGAGACTTATCCCTCCTATAGAACCCACACCTCCTATAGAACCCACACTTCCTATAGAACCTCATCAAATAGAATATCCCATTGATGGTATTATAATTAGGTCATTATATGATATAAATCATTATTTTTCAAACCCAGATTTACCAAAGACCATTTCACCAATTGTTGATAATGATGGGTTATTGTTTAATGGATATAGAATAAAATTTGATCAATTTTACCCTTCATTCAAAATCGATACAATAGACTTTATATTTACAACAACAGAAGGATTAATAGATTTAATGAATGGTGAGGATATTTATATTGCCGATTATAAGGATTTAGTAGCATACTCAAAATTTTTACATCTAATTAAAAATAGAGGACCCGACACAAAAAGATTGAAAGATGTTAAAAAAATTATAAAAGCAATTGAACATAAAGATAAATACGAAGTTGACGAAGTGGGTGATTATAATGAAGACAATCCACCAATCATACAAGAAATAGATGAATTCGAAGATATGGTGGCATCTGGACAAGGTATGACCTTTTTATCCGACAACAACGAAGAATTGCTTAATAGATTACGAGTAATATTAGAAGGTCATGGATCGCACAGACAATATAATGAAGTAAATTGTATACAAACGTCAGATTATTTACAGTCTTCCAACATTTACTGTACCGATAGGATATAGAATTATCGAGAAACCATTTCAACGACGTATTTACCACTTAATTCCTTTATGATTATAGATATAAATCTGGAAATAAAAGATGGTAAAAATAGGTTTATAGATTTTGGTAACGAGGAAATTGTTATTCAACTTCATTTAAAACAAAAAAATTAACACTCTTCATTCTCTTCTTGAATAGTTAGATAATCGTGATCATCAAATTCGTAGTTTTCATCCATGTTCAATTCTTTTCCGTCGTTGTAAGGATATATGATTCCTTCACTGTTTGGTGCTTTTCTCTTAACGAGATTTAGATAACTTCTAAAAACTCTTTTTTGTTTATCATCATCCTTTGGAATAACTACTCCATTGGTGGAACTTTTTACCCAAGGTTTCTTAAATTCATTCGTTACATCGAGTCCACTAGCTAATCGAATATAATCTTCTACGGATATCTTATCTTTAGAGTAACCCTTAAACGTTTTCTTTGCTTTTAAAAAACCATCGGAAGTTAGAATGATATTGTATTTAACTTTGGCGCTAATAAACCAAATATAATTCCACCATCACCGTAATCATTCTTTCCTTTACAATAATCATTTTCGGACACCAACCCAGCTTCATTTAATTTATCTCTATTGCTAGACGCAATGTATAAACTATCGGTATCCGTATAGTATATTTCAGGCTTATAAAATCCATCTATCACGTGAATAAAATTATTCATTATTTTTTTACTGTGAGATAAAACGAATGATCCCAAATGACTAGGTGTTAGTCGTGTAGATTTAGGAGGAATAAATTCTTTTTCTTCTTCATTTATCTCAACTATATATTGACTATCATTTACTTTTTCATAGCTTTTGACGTGTGAATCATAGTTGGCTTTTAAAGTCGCTTGACTATTGGAAATATTCTGAAATACAACTTCTTTCATTACTTGATTGTATTTTATCAAACAAGCTCCGAGACATAACGTATCTCTTTTAGCGTAAGGTTCCCATTCGTGTCTTAAAGATTCCCAATTATCTTTAGTGTATTTTGCAATATTAACATCCCCGATCTTTCTCAAATTCATTGGTAGATTAGATGAATTTCCCCATGCTGCCAAACTAGATGATTCGTGTTGATAGGAACATATGAAATTAATATTTTGCAAATAATTAGAGTTACCCTTTATTTCTTTCTGTCTTTTCCATTTTTTCTGTAAATCTTCATCAGTGAATGAATTAGTTAAAGGCAGAGACAGAATTCCTCTGGTCGTTTTTAAAGGGCATTGTGTTAGTTTTTTTACGTTTCTGATCATGATCCAGTTATCAAAACCGCTAGCGTTATGAGCAATTAATGTTATTCTTTTTTTATCTATTTTTCCTAAACGTTGTAACATTTGATCGATGCAATCTGTACCTATAAATATTTCTACTATATTAGTCATGAGTTTGTTGTAAAATTCTTCTTGAATGGGATCTGTCGGCTTTAAATCTGGAAAGAGATTATTTATTCTGTTTAACATTTTTCTTAGTTTTTCTAAATTGATTAACGTGCAAGAATAAGGTATGGCTTTATTTTCGTTATAGGTTTTGCAATCCCATGCGTATAAACAATCATCGGGAATCGTTGGAAAAACGTTTAGTTTTAGAGGTGAAACTTGCGTTATCGCATTATCATCTTTACAAGTTCTCCATACATTTTCATCGTAATTATCTTCTATTTCTTTAATGCCTAAGGTTTTGTTATTTCTTCTTATCAAACAGAAATGTTCTTTGTGTAAATAAAAAAACCAATATAATTCTTCGGATACTTTCTTTGGTTGAAAATGTCTACGTTTGGGCTTATAAATTTGAAAAGAGGTATTAAATTTCTTATTGAATTCGCAGATTCTAGCAGATGTTATAACTCATTTTCTGTTTGATTTTGAAAAACTGTTGATGAAATCTTGAAAATCTCTTGCGTAGTCTTCGTTTAAAACACGATTAACGCACTTTACAAAGCAGTATCCATCGCTCGGTATATAACAATTTATACCGATATATTCATTTATCTTTTTGAGTAGGGTAACACCACTACCCTTTTTTGATCTTTTTATTTCTTTGAAATTGTTTTTACGGAAAATCATTTTTCCTGTGAAATACCAATCAGAAGCATCCGATTTTATATCCACTGTTGCGAAGAAATTGCGAAAAGTTTTGGCATTAAAACCTACAAATTGCATGCCTTGTTTATATCCTCCATCCTCCATTTATTCCAATTTGACCTTTAAATGTTATAGATTTATCAGAGATAATCTTAATAATATTGGAAAAAAGTTTATTTGATATGAATTTTTCAATTTTATTCATATTTTTTAATTCATCAGAGATAATCTTGTCAATAACATCGTCTAAAATTTTAATTGATATGAATTTTTTATCGTCTAAAATTTCAATTTTATTCATATTTTTAAAGCAACTATTTTTAACTAGGAATTTTTAACTTTTATTGATGATATTTCTACATCAAATTTATCTAAAATTTCATTGAATTTTTCTAATTCTTCAACTGTTATGTTCTTGTCTTCTCTCGATCTTTCGAAAAATATAAACAATTTATTAAGATATGTATTTAAAATTTCTGTTTTCCTTTTATAATGAGCTTTCTGTTTTGATGTAAAACCTAAAGTAATCAGTCCACAAGATGAAGTTTGAACGGCAGTGAACGCGGCTAATACAGTTGGGACAATTATTGGAAGCATTAATCCACCGGTTACGGCTGTTGCCACCGTTATTCCTACTGTCAAAACTGTACTTAATGTTTTGAAAACAGAATCGATTCTACTCCATGTTTTTCTGCATTTGTTGAATTGTTATAGTTTTTCTTTAAGTTCGTTTTGTTTTTCTATCATATATTGTGTCTACTTTCGAGTTCCATTTTTTAGGTAATTAAATTAAGTGAACTTCTGATAAACCAAAAGATGGAAAGTAACTAAGATCTATAGGATTAATAAAAACAACTTTTACAGTTACTAATGATATTTGTTCTTTCGAATCATTAATCTTATTCAGATGAACTGAAAAATTTGGTTTTTCAATAGAAACTATAAACATATGCATCATCTCTTATTAAAAATGTTTGTTTTTGTTGACTTTTATGAATATCATTTGAGGTAAATATATCATTATCAACAAAATATAGTTTTACATATTCAAACTCTGTTGCTCGTAAAAACTCATAACTGTTTGTTTCTTTTTGTGGTTCTGGATTTCTAATAATATTCATTGATGGTGGAGTTTCCGTTTCCAATATCATATCAAAATCTCTCAATATAAATCCATGTTTTTCTTTATCTGGTATGATTAACATTCTAAACCTATCTATATATTTTCCACTCGTTTTAATTTCATATAAGTGATCAACCATGGTGTTTTCGTCGTTAATTTCTAATTCTTTAGTTTCTACATTTTTTGTACCATTGATAAACTGAAGAACTTTACGAATGATAAATTTTATATTTGATGAATATGAGATTTGTTTGAAGAATATTGAATCAACTTTTACCTGAAAGGGGAAAGTTATTTCAATTGTAATTTTTCCATGAAAAATAAAAGGTATTGAATATAAATCAAGATTTGAATCAAAAATATATTGGGGGTGATTAATACTAGTTGGAGAATATACTCTAATATTTGCTGTAATTCCATATTTTTTATATTCATAGTCTCTTGATCTATCAAAAATATCAGTAATAGAAGTATTGTAATCTCTCAAATTTTTAAATGGAAGATTGAAATAATATGATTCTTTCTTGAGAAACTTTTTTTCTAATGCGACTATATTTTTGTCCTGTTTCAAAACTAGGTTATTAATAGTAGTTATCTGTTGTTGAATAACACTATCATCAATGTTCTGTATTTGTTGATGTATATAGGTTTTGATTTCGCTATCATCTATGTTTTGTATTTGTTGTTGAATATAGGTTTTGATTTCGCTATCATCTATGTTTTGTATTTGTTTTTTAATATTTGTTAGTTCTTTTTGTAATTCACTGTTAAGTTTAGTTTCCAGAGCATTTAATTCCTGTTGAAACGTATCTTCATTTTCATCTGGAATGTTATCTATCAATTGTTGAATGTCTAATTTTTGTTTTGCAATCTTATCCTCTAATTTAGATATTAATGAAATTAAATTTTGTAACTCAGTTTTGTTCACTACGTTGACCAATTCTTTTTGAATAAAACTTATTAATCTTTGTACCTCTTGTTGTAGTTTAGTATCATTAACAAAATTTTTATTATTTGTTGACGTTTGAAGAATCTGTTCACATTACTTATTTTATCTTCTAAATGGTTTTTATTTACTTCAATTGAATATATTTGTTCTCGTAAATATTTCTTGTGAATGGCGTCATTATCGTTTTCCGGAGACTTTGAATTAGTTATGCTAAAATTGTTCATATCTAAATCACCTTGAAGAGTGTCTCCGATTTGATCCACAAAGTAAGGTTTCGCTTTATTTATCCACGTTGTACTGTTAGGTTTTTTAGTTTCTAAAGATAAAGAACCTAATCAAAACTTGTTCGCCATTTTTATTGAGTTAAATTAATACAATTTCTTCGAACTGTTTTCCTCAACTCAACTGATATAAAACCCAAAGTGACCACTGACCACAAAACTTTTGTCCCGGTAATGGAATTTGAAATGTTGAACATTTGATTGGTTTATTAGTTAATTGGATTATCTCTTCAGTGGGTTCTAATCCATAAGAATCGAAGAAATAAAAGTCAGAGTCTTTGTACAAAGCAGAATGATGAACTCCTTTTTTGATCGGAAGAATGTATATTTGTTATCGCGTAAAATTTACCTTTCTTATATTTCAGATCATTTATTTCATCTCTCATACAATAATAAAACGGTGATATATTTAACTCATTCGTCCATCTCATAAGTTGAAAGTTTGTAGTTGTATCGGTTCCATATTTATCGAGAAATTCATTCATTTTTAAAAGTCGGTTTTTCGAAGTTCGTTTTGATAAAACCTTCCTATGATTTGTTCTTTGTCTTGATCGATTAATTCATATGTCGGAGGTGATGTGCTGTTTACTTTATCAACGATGAATATTTCGTTCGTCCAGTATCCAACGTAACCTTTTTCGAATTTGCTTTTATATTTGAAAATACGAACTCGATCTCCGACTTTAAATTTGGGTTTGATATTTAAATTCTTTATTTCATTTTCGTAGTTATGTTGCGCGTTAATTGACTTTATAATATTTGGATTACTCTAGGCTTGTGTTGGTGTGACACCTATAGATGAATGAATTTTGTTATTGTATTCATCTACAACCTCTGGTAATATTTTAAGCCATTTTTGAGATTTCAATTCCGTGAATTTTTTTAATAATTTATTTTTTAGAGTCCTGTTAAATCTTTCTATTACTACAGCTTTACCTTCGTTATGAGTACTGTAAATTTCAAATCCCAGAGATTTCATATTTTTGTTATAAAATTCACTTCCTTTATCTACCCACAGTTTTTCTAGATGTCGGTTAGATTGTTTCATAATCGTTTCAAATGCATGTTTGACTAATAATCCAGTTTTGTTTTTCAAAGAAATAACCCATACATATCTCGTATACAAATCTATAACTGTTAAGCAATATTTAAATCCTCTTTCGACTGGCATATGAATTTAATCGGCTGACCATATTTCATCTTTTTCAAACACTTTTACTTTTAAAATTTTTTAGTTTTTCTAAATTCTTTGTGAATTTCATCAGCTAATCCCATGCCCAATTTCATCTTTGCTTTTAACAGTTTAATGATTAATGCTCTTTCCATTCTCTCTTTGAAAATTGGATTTGGAATATTTTCAAGTTCGATTATCATTTGTCTGTCTGCTTCGTGTCTGAAGTTTATGTCTTTCTGTATAGTGTGTCGTGTTTAAGCGCAGCGGCGTCAACTCTATTGACTGGTTCTTCCCCTGGTTTGGGTTTATCGTTTTCGTCTAATCGCAGATCTAACCTAGTACCTGGACCGGTGTAATTATGACCGGAAAGATGTTTTTCTCCGGGATATTTCGCTCATGGAAATCCAGGAAGAGAACCCAGTGATTTTTGTATATCTCCTGAACCGAAATAAGTTTTTGGAGTGTGAGCGACTATCATTTTTATCCTATATCTTTAAAACCTTTTCCTTTCCTTTCTTCTAATCTCCTGTTTCGAAGTTCTCTTATTAGCTCTAATTCTTTCAACTCGTTAGATTGTTTCACTGTGTCGCTTATACTCTTTCCCGCTTCCGCGATTGAGCCGATGGCTTTAGCTCCGGTTGAAAGGGGTGTTTTGTTTTTTGAAACAAAGCTAGCTACTTTTGGAATTATTGTTTTACCTAGAGAAAATAATGAAGAATCGCCCGAATAATCTTCGAATCTGTGTTGTTCGTGTTTTAGAATTAAACTCATCCTATTTTTAAATGAATTAATTTAGTCTGTTTTTTTTTATCCAAAAAAGAGTTATCTCCCTTCTCTAGACTAAAAATACATTACTTAAAATGAGGCTATTAAAAACCGGATGT